ATATAAATATTAATATTATTTTAAGCTTTAAATAAAATATCAGGGGCACAATAGTTCTCGAATAGAATTATAACAGCTTCATAGAAAAGAATAGATTTAAATTTAAATTTGCTTTATTATAACTTTAGAATATTTTTACTAGTTACAGTCAAAATTCGGAGTCTTTACGATTACCATTTAAGGCTTATGCATGGTGTAATGCCACCACCTTCAGGAGTCGATATAGCTAACACCATAAAATATTTTTCGCAAACTTTGCTGAGTATGTAAAAATAAAAAATTACGCCAACATGGCTGTATTTTTATACAATTTCTTTATAGCTGTATTAAAAGATGTGCCTAGTTCGCCTTTAGAATTACTAAAAGACTCAGAAAATGATTCAGCAAGAATGAGTCTTTTTCCAAATTTGGATTACAAGGGTTTATATAATTCCCTTATTCCTTTAATAGAGACTGCACCCTTAATACAAAATGGAATTAATGGTACTTATTAATGTGGTAGCTACTGAGACGTTGTCCAATTAATTAATATTTTAGCGTTTGGATTAGCTGTTCTTCAGTGTTTGGGGTGTTTATTACCCTTTTTAGAAACAGAAACTATTGACTATTTGCCTTATTTAACAGCCTCATGTATAGCTGTATTTCCAAGTACCTTGCATCAAGAAATTGTCAATACGTTGTGTTTTTATGTCCTTCCGTTTACCGTTAGTAAGTATCTTGAAATTTCCTTTTCTTATATTTTTTAAATTTAAATGCACCACGCGTCAGTTTTTCGCAATGGCGGGAAAAAGTAACTTGCGCTTTTTATGATTGTACACCAATAAAAGCATTTATATTTACGTAAAAGAAATATAAGCGTTTTTATGGAGAATATGAGTGACAAAATACTTTTCTATCATAACGAAAAATTTTTGAAAATACAGAAAATTAGTTAACAAAAAAAATCTTTTAAGCTCGCTACACGGAAAGGGAATATGAAATAACGCAGTCGGTTTCCGCGGTTATTATGATGATATTTAATCATTCCTCAAATCCAGCACATCATTGTCAATTATTGGAATGTTTAATGACCCTAAAGCAATCGATATTAAAGGATCTCCTTTGCGTAATAGCTTACGGTACAAGTACTGCGAGATCTTCAGCAGCAAAACTTTTATTTTATTATTGGCCTGCTTTTGATCCCAATCTCTTTGATAGAAAGGGACTTATTTGTAAACTAGGGGGTAAGTAAAATTAAGCGGCAAATATACGAAAATAATTTTCTTTTACTTGTCACCTAATATGGTATAAAAAAATCTCAAACGAAAATAAAACGTAGTAAAAATAGAATCAAACACTGGATTACTTTCATACATATTTATTGCCTTGGCAGTATAGACAAATGACAAAATTTTGTGAAAACATTAGTGTTTGATTCTACGTTGATTGTTAAAATACAGGCGATCCTGCACCTTTTGTATGCCAAAGAGACATGTGTTCAAATGCTGGGAATGCTGAAGCAGCGAAAGTATGTTATGATCATTGTATAGTGTAACTCCACTGTAGTTAATAACTATGAAGTGTTTATTTAAACTCTCAATGAGTCAAAAATCGATGTTGCATAAATAGATAACCTTTTTGAACATTTGCCGACAGTACTTTTTTAAATTTTAAATGTTTTTACCGCCCGCACGAAGACCGCAAACAATTATAATTCCGTATGTTGCGGCGGAAATTTTTTTAATATAGCGTAGTATAAATTACAAAAAGCGTAAATGCTAACCGTAAGGATTACAATTAAAGCTACCCCGAACACGACACTCAAAAAACTTCCATCTATAACGCCCACTGAATTATTTTTCCCTCTTTCTTCAAGCTTTAAATCAGCTAGTTGACGCTCTGCCATAAGTTTTTTAATCTCTTTCAGTTTCTGACGTAAATCTTCGACGGTCTCCTCTCGAGATCCTAAAATAACGTTTACATTGATAAATTGCAGAAAGAAAATAAAACTGTATAAACTACCGTCTTCTATTTCCATATCGCAAAAGAATTAACCACACATTTTTAGCCAGAAAGTAATATTTCTTAATACATTAAACTGCACTCCCTATTCCAATTATTATTCAGGAAAAACTCCCCCAGATGCGCACGCTTTCGCATTCCTTTACTCTCCATCTGCAAACCTTAAGGTATTGACTAAATTGTAAATCTATCCTTGCTCATTTTCATTCAAAAAATTATGGCAGCAGTTATGTCAAACGATTCAAATATTCCAGTTGTTCGCGATTTTTCGAGTAATTAACGTGACTTCTAGCGAAATGATATAAGGGGTGAAATGAGCTTATTTAATGATTATTTTTATGCTTATCTAAATTCGTTGAGTCGCCCTATATTTTGCGCTTATTTTTTGTTTCGTTACAAGCAGTATGCTTTTTGCAATTTTTATTAATTAATTTTGGTACGAATTTAGTCCTTATGTTGAAGATACCTGTGAGACTAAAACAACGCGATTTTGGTGTTTCCTTCGCTTTGGATTATTGTGAATGCATTGTAAATATGGGAACAAGAGCTGCAGCATGTAAGAACTTATATAATATAGTTGTTACAATTATTTAATATATATTTATATAAATATTAATATTATTTTNAAAAAAAATCTTTTAAGCTCGCTACACGGAAAGGGAATATGAAATAACGCAGTCGGTTTCCGCGGTTATTATGATGATATTTAATCATTCCTCAAATCCAGCACATCATTGTCAATTATTGGAATGTTTAATGACCCTAAAGCAATCGATATTAAAGGATCTCCTTTGCGTAATAGCTTACGGTACAAGTACTGCGAGATCTTCAGCAGCAAAACTTTTATTTTATTATTGGCCTGCTTTTGATCCCAATCTCTTTGATAGAAAGGGACTTATTTGTAAACTAGGGGGTAAGTAAAATTAAGCGGCAAATATACGAAAATAATTTTCTTTTACTTGTCACCTAATATGGTATAAAAAAATCTCAAACGAAAATAAAACGTAGTAAAAATAGAATCAAACACTGGATTACTTTCATACATATTTATTGCCTTGGCAGTATAGACAAATGACAAAATTTTGTGAAAACATTAGTGTTTGATTCTACGTTGATTGTTAAAATACAGGCGATCCTGCACCTTTTGTATGCCAAAGAGACATGTGTTCAAATGCTGGGAATGCTGAAGCAGCGAAAGTATGTTATGATCATTGTATAGCAATAACTTTTGCCAATGATGTACCACCTCCCCTTTATTTGTGCATTGAATGCGCCAACGAAATACATAGGGAACACCCAAATCAAGTTTTCCATGATATTTTACACCCTGTTCAGCAAGTTTCTATGGTTTGTGAAAATAAAGTAAGTACACACCTAAATAAATTTTCCGGTAAAGGAATTTTGCAATTTTTCTTTTCATATTCTTCGCTAACGCAGAATTGCCGATCAAATGATAAATCTGCAGTGTCAGTGTGTTTCTCTATCGAATGTGCAAGTTATAATGGTTACAGGCCAATTCGTTATTGCCAACAATGCCATAATAACAGGCATAATAACAGAAGGGGTGGTGATCACATATTTCATAAGAGTGTCCCCCCCACCTGGAGCCTCGATGAAGAAATGCACACATACATGATAGAAGCAATAATAAGTTTGTTGAAAGAGTCAAAGCTTCAAACTTCGGAACCAAAAAGCCAAAGTGCAGGACCTGCTTCTACTAGTGATAACAAGCCTTTAAGTCTTCCACCTCCTACTGATAACATAAGCTCAGAAGAAAGGCAACTTTTGGGCCGTTATGGGGTTTGGCTCTTAGTGGGGAGATGTACTCCTAACGATAGCACATCTGTTGAAGTAATGGGACGACTACTATCGATGCTATTTCATTGGTTTCACATGACTGCCTACTCTTTTGACGGTTAGCCTAATACTTTTGTCTTGGTTTTTACGTATTTTTCGAAATTTAAAACAAACCAGAAACAAAAAATAATGTTTCTTTTCGGCCAGTATATTTTCTTTTCTTAGAAACGACAAAATTTTAACAAAACACGTTTTCAGGACAAGAAAGTATTTTGGAAAAACTTAAGGTTGAGAATGTATGTAGCTGGTTGAAGGATCTTTGTAAAACACATTACGATCTTTTTGTTTCTTGCCTTTTACCGCATCCTCCTGATTATGCTAGAATTGGGGGCCATTGGTGAGGAATTCTGATGAAAAATTGATGTTTTCCGGACTGCTCAGGAAAACATCAATCCTCATTAAATGATAGTCCAAGTTCTACAAATGTACTTCTTGTAGGGACAGTTTAGCATCTAGGACAACCCATTTGAAAGATGGTTTAAACCGTTTATTTCATTTAATTCCTTATGAAGTTATTAATCAAGAAGTTTGGGATTTTGTCATGCCTCATTGGATGGAAGCAATCGTGAACGATGTGCCCGAGAAGGAGCTGCAGGAATTGAAAATAATACTATCGAAAATTCTGGACACAGATATGAGTCCGTTAGGTTTTAATGCTGATAAAATGTACAACTTCGTTTCCCAATGTTTTCTCAAAACTCCCGCTCCTGTTCAAAGAAAGGCACTGAAGTGGTTGCAAGTAATGAAAAACGATAATAAAAAGACTACATAGAATATCTTTCAATTAATTAAATTGTAGGTCCTTTCGAATTTGGAAATTATTATACCTTTGCATTTAGTCTTTTCAATATTTCGCGATGGAATTCGTACATTAAAGTCGAATACGCACACAGAATCAAACGACAATAAACCGGTCGAAACGATTGAGGCCATAGCTAAACTTCCTGCCTGTAAGTAATTCTTGAGCTATATTCACAAATGAGCTCATTTAAATAATTAGCTCCAGTTTTGCAAGATTGCGACTCCGGAAATACCTCGATTATGGACGAAGAAAACGCCCTTGCCCATAAGGATTCCAGTAGCATACCAGAACAAAACCTTTTCTGCTGTATTCTAATGCTGGACATTCTTCTAAAGCAAATGGAACTTCAAGATGTTGATAAACACACCGGGATCAACTCGTCGTTATGCAAAGACGTTTGCAGATTGCTAAAGTGTATGATAACAGCAACATGGATAAGTGGTCATAAATGCTCATCAAAGCCCGCCGAATGTACTTATTGCGAAGCTAGCGTTATGTGGCATCAACTGTGTCTTAAATTGATTCAGTATTTATCACCAGAAAAGCCAGCACATCCTCCAGATGTACGTAACTCGTTTAAAACTGAATTATTTATTTTGTTAGTTATCAATCGTTAAATTTTAGCCACCTCTCGAAGAATATACTGACGATTATTATAGTAAAAGTCCTCCTGAAAGTAGCAAAAAGGAATCGAAATCCGATGTTATTATGACTGTTCCTGTCCCCGAAGCCCATTCAATTGGAGGAGTCTTAGTACACATGCCCCATGTGTGTTCTGTACGAAAAGTATACAGTTCAGCTTAGTTTTTTGCTTGAGTCATCATTAGTTTCCCTGTTTTTAGTTAGTTTTTGACCAATTTAAGGGTAATTTATTTATTTTTTTTTTTTGTTGGATTTGTTTCATTTTTAATGATTTATTTAAAACTGATTGCTACGAACTTTTGTTAACTCAAGCATTTTCGTATAAGTGTTTTGGTGTTAATAATTGCTTTTTTCCTCTCCTCCCTAATACATGGATTTGATTATGAAGGTACCTCTTCAACAGATAATGACCGCGACTGTTGAGACAGTTTCAGAACAATTAGACCTTACTGCTATTATTCCTGCGGAAAAGGTTGTCACAGCAATGGCAAAAGCGATCACAATGTCCGATACCGAATATAGTAAAGAAAACATAATTTTTCGATTTCTTTTTTCCCAGAAAGTTCACTCAACTATTTTCAGATTCACATTTGCGCCATGATAAACCAAGGAACGGAAGCGATAATTGTTTGACTAATAAGGGGATCGATGACGGACCCGAAAATATTTTTGACTCTGATGGAAAATTAAAGTTTTCTATTGAGGAATTGCCCGAACAATTTCAATACGTTTACTACCTCTTTTCGGCAAGGAGATATCTCTACGCATTTAAATAAGTGATTAATAATTTTTTTTTTTCAGGAAGTGCCAAAAGTTGTAAAATCAGAAGTGCTTTACTATATGTTGCAGTGTTTGAATATATTTTGTTTGCACGGCGATGCATGCACGAAAGCTTCTAAAGAACACAAAGCCTTTTTCAGATACATACAAAATAATTTACTCATTAAAAAGTGAGAATTTCTGTAAAGTTGAACACATTTACACATTTTCCCACAAACATATATTTTTAGTTTATGGAATTTATGTAACTCGGAACATTCCCATATTGCTCAGGAAGCAGTTCCACTTTTGCTTCATTGTATCACATTACCGTTCGGCGCGGATGTTTTTTGGAAAATAATTCAGAGTGATTTTCACAATTCTGATTGGAGAATTCGATTTACTGCAGTTGACAGAGTAACTATGATTGCCAGGTATTTGGATTTGGCTCCCTTAAGAAATTTACCAGCCTTACAAGCCGCGTTGGCAAATGCTTTTTGCTATCTTATAACCAGTATGGACGATTGTAGTGTATATGTGGCACAGAGGGCAACACTTTATTTAGGAACAATACATGACACTGCCATTAGGGTGAGTGCTTTTTTTTTAATTCAATTTATTTTTTCTATCTTTACGTCTTTCACGGCTTGTTCTTTTAGTTTTTAATTTTTCCTGGTATAAGAAAGGTAACTGTGCAAGTAATGGGACCCCCTCCCGTATTAGAGGGCAAAAGGGTGGATGTTCCAAGAAGGTCTTTCCCACTCCTCTCACCCCTTTTCTTCTCGATTCGAGAGGGGTTCCGTCGTTTCCACAATTACTCTAAAAAAAATGTTATTATTAGGTACGATATTTGTGAAAACTATTTAATTAATACTTTTATATTTTAGTCTCTTATAATATGCCTAGAAACTCAGTTTGATACAGTTATAATAGACAGACCAATGATTCTTCAATCTCTTTACCAGCTTCATAATTCTTTGAGCGAAAGAAAGTTTTTGAGTTGGGATTTTTTTTTGAATCGTTTTGATACGTTATTTTTGGAAGCGCAAATTAATTTGGAAAAGTCCGGTGATATTTCATATTTAAGAGGTATTATTGTTATTTATCTTATAATTATCGATAAATCATTGTGTTGTTGATAAATTAAACTAACAGATTTAAGAAACTCAGATATGAACAGTGACGTTTTCATAAGAAAACTGCATAGAGCTCAAGAAGCACTTTCGCAGCAATCAGACAGTGCCACTAGCTCTGTTAAGACTTTAAGTGCCAGTTTTGGTACCAAATGGCCCTATAAAAGGACTATGTCGGCACCCGCTTCTATTATATCTAGACACGAGGCAAAAGGTTAATAAAAAAACAAACAACTTTGCTCTTGTAACTTTATGTTTTAAAAATAATTTATTTTAGAAACGAAAGATAAAATATATAGCAGACAGTTTTCTGCTCCAATTTTAAAAAGGAAAAGTTCGAGATTTGGAATCGGTCAGTTTTTAGGCACTAGTAACAGCATACCAGGTAGAAATTAGATGTAGTGTCTTGCTATTCTGTAGGCTTACAGGGCAAGGGTCTGTAGTTGACCTTTAGGATTCTGGGCATTTCCGAACCTAAGGGACAGTTGCGGTGTCTTGCTTTTAGATAGATGTATTTCAGCAAAAATTCTGTGGTAAATTGTGTAAAACCAACTCATTATGGTACAAGTTACTGCTGAAATGGATTTAATAAAAATAAAATGGTTTGCTAGAAAACAGTTTATATTACCAGTTTATTTATTTTTTCCAATTGGGAAGTAGAAATTTATATTGGCATGTGGAATTAATATTGTATATTTAACTATTTTCGTTAAAAAGCATGCCTGTTTTTAACTTGTTTCACATTTAAAAATATATAGAACGTTACAAGTATAATTAACGAAAGTTTCGTTTTAATTAATTGATGTAAAAAATAATTTATATTTAATTGATTATAAGAGTAGTACAATTTTACTGTTAATATACTATTTTTGTTAATTATACCTGTTTGAACCTGTCTATATTCGCCTTACTAGATTCCTGAATGGCTTCAATAAAAAGGTCTCTGAAATGTTGCATGAAGTTCTATCTCCAACACAACTTACTTGCTCTTTGAATGTAGGTATGTGACTGATTAAAACAAGTTAATCCTATAATCATTTAAATGAAAGTGTTTTACTGAGATGTGATGATGCACAAGCTTTGCAAAAAGATGATTATTTAACAAAAAGTTAGCTATTAGTTTTTTTTTGTTATTGTAAAAAGGAAATGAAATCATAATTAATATTTTTAGATGGTCACATGCATTCTTTGAATATTGCCGATGATCAAAATGTCATCGGTTTTTTGCACAGAATAATTGATTTGGAAGAAGCTGACAAAGAAACGATGCATTTGTTGGTTTTTTTGCTAATGCAGTTCTTATCAAGACCTGATGAAGCGTATCCAACTGAAAACAAATACATTTCTAAATCGCAAGGAATTGTGCTGCGACACCTTTATCTTTTACTTGGTTACAGTCAAAATGATCGAGGAATTTATATCTCTCCTCAACGTTTGAGATCATCTCCAGCATTTTGTGCATTTCTTTCCAATTTACCCCAACTTTTGGATCAGAATCATTTAATTGGTCATATGCTTCTTCCAACAACTATGATACTACTACAATATTCCGCTTCCCCACATTCTGTTCAAAACAGTGTGGATCTTCAACAACCAGTTTACAGTTTATGGGCTTTAGAACCTCATTCCAGAAGGTGCTGGCTAATGTCAGTAGTCGTTTTACTTTATAAGGTAAACCAACATGGGGTTTACTATTATGTACCTAATTATCTGAAATAAACATTTTCTGATAAAAGAAAATTTCAGTATCAATACAATCAATCCACCCATTGTGGTCAACTTTCGTTTCTTATAAAAATTATTCTGAATACTCTTGATGCGCAACATCATCAGTGTTGTAGACTACCAGCGACAATTATTATGGGAGGTGCAAGTTCCCGTTCTAGAGGTACCATTTTTCAAGATATTCGTATCAAAAATATTCCTTTCAAATGCAGTTTTAGATGTCAGTCAACCATCTTTGGGTACTGAATATGAACATGGGGATAAATTCATCACTCCTCCCTTGTCTCCAATGTATTCTCTAGATGGGCAATCGGTTCAAATCGCAGCAGGATTGAGAAATACAAAAGTCCAAAATATTCACGCAAAAATTGCATCCGGAACTAGTATGGAAACGCATTGGGAAGAATCATCAAACGATAATATTCGATGCTTAAAAGTGGAGAAAGTAGATGTTAATGTGGATATGGACGATTCTGAATCTGAACTTCTCGCTATTCCTGAAAGTGACACTTCAGAAAGCACTCTACAGGGAAGCATACACGTATGCATCATTTTGATAATGTAATTTTTGCCTTTTGGATTTACAAAAACATTTTTATTTAGAGTTCTCTGGAACTCGGAGATGATAACTATTACATTCATGTCAAAGAAAAAAAGTGCCATATAGAAAAACATCTTGAACCTGGCTATAAAAATGGATCAAATAAAAACAAAGCTTCTACTATTGAAAATCGTCCGACGTGGTATATAGGCGGCAGTCAAGAATTTGTTAAGGCAAATGGAAATAAAATATACAAGACTAATAAAATATCGATTCATAATCATTTGCCAGCAAAAACACAAATGAATAAGAACTCCATCAATTCGAACTCGGTGTTGTCCAGCACAACATTAGCAGATTTACATATTCAAAATAATAATATCGGTAGCACTAATAATAATCATCGTACAATAACACCAGTTACTCCTGAAATACTAAGAAAGAACGAGGAACTAAAAATTTTAAGTTGTACATCGTCGTCTGAAAGCGAAAATTGCTTAAAAGAAGATAAAACTATTCCAAATTTTGCTACTCCTACTTTGGAAAGGCTACTTCCCATTGGGTCAAGAATAGCAGGTATAAAAATGTATTTTTAATTTAGAGAAACATTTATGGAAGAAAATATCTCTGATTTTAATTACTTTCCAGACTCGAGATCTCCTGAATCTCCTCTTTCAAAAATGGACATTATACCAATAGGTGAACGCTTTTCGCATTTTTCATATTAATTTTTAAACTCGACTTGTTTTAGATTTACCTCAAGAAGTAGTTTGTTATCCTACCCTAGATTCACAATTGGAGATTCCATCTCAGGAAAGGCTATTACCTATTGGTCAGCATAGTAAAGATATCACACATCTTGTTGATAAAATGAAGCAAGTTTTAAAATTAAATAATCAAATTCAAAGACCATCAGTGGAAAGTAAAAAAGTGATGAAAAAAAATAACGGAAAGGATGAAATTCCTCGCAATCATAGCCCTAGAAGGCTCATCAAACAGGTTGCTTTAGAAAGTCCTCCCGGTCAAGGCGAACTATTTACAACCACCCTCAATGTCACTTTAAAGAGTACACTGCTACCAAATTATGATAGAAACTCTTTTTTCAACTTTATCTTCTTTCAGAAGATACATCATTAAATCAGAAACGCCCAAGAAAAAGTAGTCCGATTTCCCCAATATCTTATCAGTACATGGAAAATAGACAATTTGGATCTTGGGTAATACCACAAGTTGCCCCTAAACCAGAAGGACAAGATCTTAAACAAAGCTCATTTCGAACTGGCGACGATTGCGTTAGTGAGAGATGTTCAGAATGTGGTACAGCTCGTGAAGAGTATAGTGATGAAGAATTAGGATTATGTATAGTCGCTTTAGGCACTTTTATTCATAGGGAACCTGCTTCTGCAGCCCCATTACTTCCAGAAATATTACACGCAGTGGCTAAGTAAGTTTTCAATGTTTTATTAATACAATACTTAATCATATTAGCGTCTTTAAAGGATTGCGACGCATACATTATATCCTTGGCAAAATGAAAGCAATGTACACTTACCAGGAAGTGCAGTTAGTGTAGCTCATCAGTTCTTAAGATGTGTTTTACATCAGTTAGCCCCAAATGGAATTTTTACACAGATGTTTCAAACACGCATTAGTGGTGAGATATTTACTCCATTGAAATATAAAAAAAATAAGTTGAAAAACGAATATTGTCTGTTTTTTCAGAGAAAATAAGAACTCAGTTTTTTAAAAGTGTTGTTAAAGCATTACTAGATTTTATGGAGTTAAACCCCGTAGCCCCATTGCATCTTTTACTCGAGGTATATTTCCTTTTCGTATATTTTAAACTTGATAATGTTTTACTTCTTATTCTTAAGTTTTTCCATTAACCAGAAAAAAATGAATAAAATTGTACTGAAGTAGAAAAACTTTTGAGAATAAAATAACAATAAATTTGGTAAAATTTTAGATGTTAAATTCCAAAAAGTCGTGGCCAATCCATATGATGCCTACAATTCTTCAAAATATGTCTATTTATTTAGAATGCATCGCCAATGAAACAAACTTATTTGCAACAAATGCTGTTTGGAGTAACACGTTACCTCAGTTAGAAATGTTTTTTCGGAGATTATTGGTTATACTTGGTCAACTAGACGATATAGGAGCGTTGCTAAAAATGGTTTTGTTGATTTTAAAAGTTTCTGCAATCTCCCAACATAAGGTAGTATTTACTTTCTAATACTAAGTGGTAAATAGCTTTTTATATTTAATTTCAGGGTATTTTAGAGCCTTTTACTAAAATAATCAGTTACACAATACAAAAGCATAACTTTAAATATAGTTATTTAGTAGATTTGTGCCATTTATGCGCTAAAGCATTTACTAAAGATAGAGATAAATTAATATTTAGCAGAACCACCGCATATGAATTAATACAGGTGTTAAAATTCAAAACGGTGATCCCCGATTCTAATCTCTTAATGCTTATAAATTTAGTACTTCAGGTAAATAGAAAGAAAGACCTTAGACAATAGTTAAGTAACAGTGATAATTATTTTAGGACACCGGGGGTTCTTTGCCGGCGCAGAGTATGTTTTATGGAAATAATACAAGCATATCGGAATGTATGAAAGTTCATTTATCGGATTTGGTTGATTTCTTAACCGACTTTCATACTTTAGCGAAAATAAAAGTAATTAAAAACAATTTCAACAAAAAAAATCAAATATGTCTTTGTGCATCATTTCAGAGTTACTGTAAAGGGGCTCACATAGGATTAAACGAAGATACCATAGGAGGAATAATTAAAGGGGCCGTTGCCCAATATATCGCAATAGAAATAGCAAAAGGAAATGGCAAAGAAAACAGAATTGTTACACGGTACTTTCCCTGGCTATACACCTCCATTAACGTACAACAAACGTGAGTTTTATTAAAAAAAAGATTTAAATTAACTTTAGATAAGCGTTAAGATTGTTCATATAAAAGCGGCATTACTGTTCCGAACCTTATCCACCTTAAACTGATCCTGTATTTAAAGTAAAAAAACTCTTTAGGCCAAGGGAATTTATAGAATGTATTACTCATATCCGTCTTTTATCATGGTTGCTGTTGGGATCACTTACCTATTGCGCTTTTCGTGGGTTTGGGTCAGGAAATAATAATTTCCAGCCGATTCCTCAAGAAGCGTCATGCCAAATTGCTGAGCATGTACAAGCAGTCATATCTGGATTTGCTGAACAACACAGATCCTCAGTTCTGCATATGTCTTCTTTATTTCATACTTTTATATTATGCCAAGTAAGTATAAAAAAACAATAATAATTTATCGACTTTATCAAATTTGGTATTGCGCAGTTATGGACCATTTATTTGGAACAAAGTTTAGGAATATATTTACCTATAAGTGAATCATACAATACAACGATGAATACGTTATTTGACTTTTGGAGTAAAGTCATGCCGTCAGTATTACAACTTATAAAACATTCTCGAGCAGTTAGTTCGATCTCAAATAATACATATAATGATTCTCAATTATTTACTTATTTACTTTTCAGTTAAACGAAATTGTTAGTATGCATTTTTTGAACACTTTAGAAGCGTTATTAGAATGTAATTCTACTATTGTAAGTAAACTAATGCCACTTTGGACCTCAATACTTTGCTCAACTAACGTAAGTAACTACTATACTATTTTGTACTAGACGATGGTATATTTTTTCAAAAATGTACGCTTTTTAGTTACCTGGTCACTTACAAGTCCGCCTTCAAAACTGTTACAATTTTATACCTAATGTATACCTCGAAGTTTTACCGAATAAATCGAGCTTGCATTTGAATAATCCAATGTTATTGAAATGGTTNTTTAAATTTAAATTTGCTTTATTATAACTTTAGAATATTTTTACTAGTTACAGTCAAAATTCGGAGTCTTTACGATTACCATTTAAGGCTTATGCATGGTGTAATGCCACCACCTTCAGGAGTCGATATAGCTAACACCATAAAATATTTTTCGCAAACTTTGCTGAGTATGTAAAAATAAAAAATTACGCCAACATGGCTGTATTTTTATACAATTTCTTTATAGCTGTATTAAAAGATGTGCCTAGTTCGCCTTTAGAATTACTAAAAGACTCAGAAAATGATTCAGCAAGAATGAGTCTTTTTCCAAATTTGGATTACAAGGGTTTATATAATTCCCTTATTCCTTTAATAGAGACTGCACCCTTAATACAAAATGGAATTAATGGTACTTATTAATGTGGTAGCTACTGAGACGTTGTCCAATTAATTAATATTTTAGCGTTTGGATTAGCTGTTCTTCAGTGTTTGGGGTGTTTATTACCCTTTTTAGAAACAGAAACTATTGACTATTTGCCTTATTTAACAGCCTCATGTATAGCTGTATTTCCAAGTACCTTGCATCAAGAAATTGTCAATACGTTGTGTTTTTATGTCCTTCCGTTTACCGTTAGTAAGTATCTTGAAATTTCCTTTTCTTATATTTTTTAAATTTAAATGCACCACGCGTCAGTTTTTCGCAATGGCGGGAAAAAGTAACTTGCGCTTTTTATGATTGTACACCAATAAAAGCATTTATATTTACGTAAAAGAAATATAAGCGTTTTTATGGAGAATATGAGTGACAAAATACTTTTCTATCATAACGAAAAATTTTTGAAAATACAGAAAATTAGTTAACAAAAAAAATCTTTTAAGCTCGCTACACGGAAAGGGAATATGAAATAACGCAGTCGGTTTCCGCGGTTATTATGATGATATTTAATCATTCCTCAAATCCAGCACATCATTGTCAATTATTGGAATGTTTAATGACCCTAAAGCAATCGATATTAAAGGATCTCCTTTGCGTAATAGCTTACGGTACAAGTACTGCGAGATCTTCAGCAGCAAAACTTTTATTTTATTATTGGCCTGCTTTTGATCCCAATCTCTTTGATAGAAAGGGACTTATTTGTAAACTAGGGGGTAAGTAAAATTAAGCGGCAAATATACGAAAATAATTTTCTTTTACTTGTCACCTAATATGGTATAAAAAAATCTCAAACGAAAATAAAACGTAGTAAAAATAGAATCAAACACTGGATTACTTTCATACATATTTATTGCCTTGGCAGTATAGACAAATGACAAAATTTTGTGAAAACATTAGTGTTTGATTCTACGTTGATTGTTAAAATACAGGCGATCCTGCACCTTTTGTATGCCAAAGAGACATGTGTTCAAATGCTGGGAATGCTGAAGCAGCGAAAGTATGTTATGATCATTGTATAGCAATAACTTTTGCCAATGATGTACCACCTCCCCTTTATTTGTGCATTGAATGCGCCAACGAAATACATAGGGAACACCCAAATCAAGTTTTCCATGATATTTTACACCCTGTTCAGCAAGTTTCTATGGTTTGTGAAAATAAAGTAAGTACACACCTAAATAAATTTTCCGGTAAAGGAATTTTGCAATTTTTCTTTTCATATTCTTCGCTAACGCAGAATTGCCGATCAAATGATAAATCTGCAGTGTCAGTGTGTTTCTCTATCGAATGTGCAAGTTATAATGGTTACAGGCCAATTCGTTATTGCCAACAATGCCATAATAACAGGCATAATAACAGAAGGGGTGGTGATCACATATTTCATAAGAGTGTCCCCCCCACCTGGAGCCTCGATGAAGAAATGCACACATACATGATAGAAGCAATAATAAGTTTGTTGAAAGAGTCAAAGCTTCAAACTTCGGAACCAAAAAGCCAAAGTGCAGGACCTGCTTCTACTAGTGATAACAAGCCTTTAAGTCTTCCACCTCCTACTGATAACATAAGCTCAGAAGAAAGGCAACTTTTGGGCCGTTATGGGGTTTGGCTCTTAGTGGGGAGATGTACTCCTAACGATAGCACATCTGTTGAAGTAATGGGACGACTACTATCGATGCTATTTCATTGGTTTCACATGACTGCCTACTCTTTTGACGGTTAGCCTAATACTTTTGTCTTGGTTTTTACGTATTTTTCGAAATTTAAAACAAACCAGAAACAAAAAATAATGTTTCTTTTCGGCCAGTATATTTTCTTTTCTTAGAAACGACAAAATTTTAACAAAACACGTTTTCAGGACAAGAAAGTATTTTGGAAAAACTTAAGGTTGAGAATGTATGTAGCTGGTTGAAGGATCTTTGTAAAACACATTACGATCTTTTTGTTTCTTGCCTTTTACCGCATCCTCCTGATTATGCTAGAATTGGGGGCCATTGGTGAGGAATTCTGATGAAAAATTGATGTTTTCCGGACTGCTCAGGAAAACATCAATCCTCATTAAATGATAGTCCAAGTTCTACAAATGTACTTCTTGTAGGGACAGTTTAGCATCTAGGACAACCCATTTGAAAGATGGTTTAAACCGTTTATTTCATTTAATTCCTTATGAAGTTATTAATCAAGAAGTTTGGGATTTTGTCATGCCTCATTGGATGGAAGCAATCGTGAACGATGTGCCCGAGAAGGAGCTGCAGGAATTGAAAATAATACTATCGAAAATTCTGGACACAGATATGAGTCCGTTAGGTTTTAATGCTGATAAAATGTACAACTTCGTTTCCCAATGTTTTCTCAAAACTCCCGCTCCTGTTCAAAGAAAGGCACTGAAGTGGTTGCAAGTAATGAAAAACGATAATAAAAAGACTACATAGAATATCTTTCAATTAATTAAATTGTAGGTCCTTTCGAATTTGGAAATTATTATACCTTTGCATTTAGTCTTTTCAATATTTCGCGATGGAATTCGTACATTAAAGTCGAATACGCACACAGAATCAAACGACAATAAACCGGTCGAAACGATTGAGGCCATAGCTAAACTTCCTGCCTGTAAGTAATTCTTGAGCTATATTCACAAATGAGCTCATTTAAATAATTAGCTCCAGTTTTGCAAGATTGCGACTCCGGAAATACCTCGATTATGGACGAAGAAAACGCCCTTGCCCATAAGGATTCCAGTAGCATACCAGAACAAAACCTTTTCTGCTGTATTCTAATGCTGGACATTCTTCTAAAGCAAATGGAACTTCAAGATGTTGATAAACACACCGGGATCAACTCGTCGTTATGCAAAGACGTTTGCAGATTGCTAAAGTGTATGATAACAGCAACATGGATAAGTGGTCATAAATGCTCATCAAAGCCCGCCGAATGTACTTATTGCGAAGCTAGCGTTATGTGGCATCAACTGTGTCTTAAATTGATTCAGTATTTATCACCAGAAAAGCCAGCACATCCTCCAGATGTACGTAACTCGTTTAAAACTGAATTATTTATTTTGTTAGTTATCAATCGTTAAATTTTAGCCACCTCTCGAAGAATATACTGACGATTATTATAGTAAAAGTCCTCCTGAAAGTAGCAAAAAGGAATCGAAATCCGATGTTATTATGACTGTTCCTGTCCCCGAAGCCCATTCAATTGGAGGAGTCTTAGTACACATGCCCCATGTGTGTTCTGTACGAAAAGTATACAGTTCAGCTTAGTTTTTTGCTTGAGTCATCATTAGTTTCCCTGTTTTTAGTTAGTTTTTGACCAATTTAAGGGTAATTTATTTATTTTTTTTTTTTGTTGGATTTGTTTCATTTTTAATGATTTATTTAAAACTGATTGCTACGAACTTTTGTTAACTCAAGCATTTTCGTATAAGTGTTTTGGTGTTAATAATTGCTTTTTTCCTCTCCTCCCTAATACATGGATTTGATTATGAAGGTACCTCTTCAACAGATAATGACCGCGACTGTTGAGACAGTTTCAGAACAATTAGACCTTACTGCTATTATTCCTGCGGAAAAGGTTGTCACAGCAATGGCAAAAGCGATCACAATGTCCGATACCGAATATAGTAAAGAAAACATAATTTTTCGATTTCTTTTTTCCCAGAAAGTTCACTCAACTATTTTCAGATTCACATTTGCGCCATGATAAACCAAGGAACGGAAGCGATAATTGTTTGACTAATAAGGGGATCGATGACGGACCCGAAAATATTTTTGACTCTGATGGAAAATTAAAGTTTTCTATTGAGGAATTGCCCGAACAATTTCAATACGTTTACTACCTCTTTTCGGCAAGGAGATATCTCTACGCATTTAAATAAGTGATTAATAATTTTTTTTTTTCAGGAAGTGCCAAAAGTTGTAAAATCAGAAGTGCTTTACTATATGTTGCAGTGTTTGAATATATTTTGTTTGCACGGCGATGCATGCACGAAAGCTTCTAAAGAACACAAAGCCTTTTTCAGATACATACAAAATAATTTACTCATTAAAAAGTGAGAATTTCTGTAAAGTTGAACACATTTACACATTTTCCCACAAACATATATTTTTAGTTTATGGAATTTATGTAACTCGGAACATTCCCATATTGCTCAGGAAGCAGTTCCACTTTTGCTTCATTGTATCACATTACCGTTCGGCGCGGATGTTTTTTGGAAAATAATTCAGAGTGATTTTCACAATTCTGATTGGAGAATTCGATTTACTGCAGTTGACAGAGTAACTATGATTGCCAGGTATTTGGATTTGGCTCCCTTAAGAAATTTACCAGCCTTACAAGCCGCGTTGGCAAATGCTTTTTGCTATCTTATAACCAGTATGGACGATTGTAGTGTATATGTGGCACAGAGGGCAACACTTTATTTAGGAACAATACATGACACTGCCATTAGGGTGAGTGCTTTTTTTTTAATTCAATTTATTTTTTCTATCTTTACGTCTTTCACGGCTTGTTCTTTTAGTTTTTAATTTTTCCTGGTATAAGAAAGGTAACTGTGCAAGTAATGGGACCCCCTCCCGTATTAGAGGGCAAAAGGGTGGATGTTCCAAGAAGGTCTTTCCCACTCCTCTCACCCCTTTTCTTCTCGATTCGAGAGGGGTTCCGTCGTTTCCACAATTACTCTAAAAAAAATGTTATTATTAGGTACGATATTTGTGAAAACTATTTAATTAATACTTTTATATTTTAGTCTCTTATAATATGCCTAGAAACTCAGTTTGATACAGTTATAATAGANCGTCTGCACCTTGTTTACAAGTCAGTTTTCTTGAAATTAACACTGAAATGTTGTGCGATGAGCTTCAAAAAATTCCAATGGAAATTAAAAATGTCGGAAATAGTTCTATAGATAAAATTTATATGGCCACATCTACTCCTCAATTAATTTCAATTTCTGAGTTTAATAATAAACCATGGAGTAATCGTGAAAGTGATTTAAAAACGCCGGCAGCCAGAGAAAAGGAATTAAGGAGACTTTGTGTTACTCAACTACCATTGCAAGGAGATAAATTGGATCCTGGACAATCTAAATCGTTTAATATATGGATAAAAGCTCCGAGCGAAAAAGGAACCATAAACATCGATATACTAATTTACTATGAAAATTTAAGTAATTCAAATATGCCAAAGTATGACCATCATTTTTTTTGTATAGTAAGGAATATTTTTATATGTATTTTGTAGATACAGACTGGTACGACATACTTGGATGTTAAATACACAAGAAACGCTTTCGGCAAAGGTGCTATGTCAAGGAAGTTTTAGTTCAAAGTCTGTGGAACAGTTGTCGCTTTCAGCAAAAATTACTAATTTAAATAAGTTTCATGATCTTAAAATAATTAACGTATCACTTGTAAAAGTATTACTTTTAAGTTCTGATTGGCTTCTTTTAAAAGATTTAGAACTACCAAAAACATTAAGAATTACATCAGAACAATCAATTCATTTGTTACTAAAAGCTAGAAGAAACAGCAAAAGAGAAGAAATTTATTCTGAAATAATCCTTGATCCCGAAACATTTAGACCCTTACTTTCGAATAGTGTTTGTTTAGATTTAGCTATTAAAAATTTTGAACAGCATGTGTCCTTTTTGGATGAGTTTGTTAGTCAAGACGCGGGTCGGAAGATACATTCTCCAAACCAATTAGTGTTACAGTGGAAGGCTTCAGTATCTGATAGTTCTGGTCAAAAAAAGAATATCATCGGACAGACAACGACACCTTTATCGTTTAAAGATGAATGCGATATTGAAACGTCATTATCTTATGAAGTTAATCAAACATTAGATTTAACAGTATCAATAACTAAGAGTAATGTTTCAGTAGAAACAAAAAAGAATCAAGTATTCTTAAGTTTATTGCATCCCATCTCTATCCGGCACGATTTTAAAAATAAGAAGTTTTGTACAATTCCTGTTCAAATTGTTCTTCATAACGTCGTGGATGCAGAAATGGTAGTTACTGTAAACACTTTGGGAAGTAGTAGGCAAGTTTTGAATAGTGAATCCGGTATTTAAATAAATACTAAAGTATTCTTTTTTATTACAGTGATTCTCCTCCTCTATCGTTTAGACCAAATTTTTATTACCAGTACCCATCTAAATATTTCAGATGGATAGGTAAAAGTAGTGCTGTGAAATCTTTAATGCCTTTTAGTTCTGAAATACTTTCAATGCATGTAGCCGTTTTCGGACCAGGTACTTATGATTTAGGGTCGCGATTAGAAACGTGGTGTCACGAAAAAGACAATCCCGATAATATGGTGCTTCAAAATTATCGGGCAGAATCTGCTCTAATAGTTCTAAACGGTTCAACATAAAACAACTGTACCTCACAAATAATATTTTGTTTGTTATTAAAAATTAAATCTGTTTTTGATGTTTCCAATAATTTGTATATTACATTTTGTATTATACATCACAAGTAGCAAATACTGATAGTAACTATTCATCTTATATTAACTCAAATTTTAAATGTTTTTTATTATATGTTAATACTTTGCGTTATAAATGGCCGCATTATTAATTCATTTTTAATAAGTGAAAGAAAAATAAAAAATGTGCATATATTAAGTCAGCCTTATCTTCATCTTTTTGGATGTTCGGTTTTATTTATTGTTATAAATGTACATAATTATACCTTTGCAGATTGTTGATGTATCGATTGGACACATATATTGAAAACGTATTAGTTAAAAAAACTCATATTTTTTGTTTTTTTATTAGATATTTTGTTTTTATACTTTTTAGAAACTTATCAAATGAGTATATTGAATAGGAAGAAATTATAATTTTATTGCAAATGAAATATACAAAAATAAAGAACAAGTTTGAAAAAATATTGTGAGGTATTTGTGTTTCAATAAAATAACTAAGCTAACCATTTTCAGTAACAATTTCTAATTCACCATTTAGGTCATCAGAATTAATTGCAACAGATTCTATATCAATATCTGGTTCTTCAACTTCATCTTCCTTTGTAAAGCCCAGTAAGAACTGTTTAGCTTGATCTTCCTATAGTATAAACTAATTTTAGGATCTAAAGGATTTGAGGAATTAAGAACATAAGTTACTTACTTTTGCCTTTTGGAATTGTTCAGATTGTATAATCAATGACTCTACTAAGGGTATACATTGTGTTGGTTCTTCACTTTTCTTTGTTAAACTTGAAGTTGGTTCTTCAGAAGTTAAACTTTTATGCATTAATGTCCGATGTGGTCTGTATCTTTTATCCTCAAAAGGTTTCTCTAATTCACAAATGTGTTGTACATGTTTTTCATTCAGTATACCACAGGAATTTTCTTTACAATTAACAGACATTGTACTTAGTGAACTTTCTAGATGCTGTATACTTTCTCGGGACTTTAATTCCTTATAAACTCTTTTATGAGCTTTTTTAATAGACTCTCCTTTATCAAGAAGGTTTTCTATAACAGTTCTGTAAATATAACAGTAAGGAAATTTACTTTTAAAGCAAAATAACCGGTCAATTTCTTAGTTCACCTATTTTTCAGTAGCGCTTCGTATCTATTTAGCATTTCTTTCAACGCTTCAAGGGATGTTTTAGTTAAATCATGATTTTCCTCTGAACTCATTTTTATTTAAAATTGAAGTTTACTACTTTAAATACTTTACAATTTTGTTTTTATTTTAAAATAACACCTTTTTAATAAACGTCACTTTTTGAGGTTATATTATGTTACTTAACTCTATGCTCTTAATTACTCACAGAAATTTACTTTTCATAGAATAAATTATAGATATTTTCCATATGATGAACCAAAATTTACATTTCAAATTTAATTTATATGGGGATCAGTTGTTTTTTTACTTAGAATAACAAAATACTTTATTTGAGTATGTGTATATGTAGAAACACGTTTAAGTGTAAATGTGTATATTAATAATAAGTATGTTATTCAACTTTTAAATAAATTTAAATTTTATAGTATAGATGAGTAACGCTCTTTTAGTATTTTTTATCTACAAGTACTTGTATGTTAAAGTACTATATTTTTATACACACGTGTAAACAGTATAATCAAAAACACTTTCTAAGAAATGTAGGGAAGGGAAGACTAATAATATAAACAACAATTTAAATCGGTTTTACTATAAAACACAATCTTCCACATTAATAATTAACTGAAGCATAGAAATCACTACTGCAAATTAAAAGGAACAACATAAATTAGCTAGTTGTACCTTAACTGTATTTATAAAATTACAACATATTTTATTTATTAAATGAAATAGAGCTACCATTCGGCATCACCGTTTGCTTTTTGAAAAACGTAATCTTCGCCGTTTAGATTCATTATTCCGTCTTTCAAATGGAACTTCCATTTATTTCGACTTCTAGTTATCTAATAAAAAAATAAAAATGTTACTTCATTATACAAGAAATAGTGATGATAATAATACTTTACCAACAAGGATCATTTATACAAAATATTTACTAAATAAATAGCCAGGACAATTTACCTTGTCATATTGACACACAACAACATTCTCAGTGTCAAAGAGATCTGAAGGATCTTCATCGGTAACATCATCTTCTGAGTTAAGTGGTTCTTCTTCTGGCCCTCCTTCATCCAAGTCTTGATCTTCTTCATCTCTGTCCTCATCAACATCTTCTGAAGCATCTTCTTCATCAGATCCATCTTCATCATCATCAGATGTATCAGCAGGACCATCTAATTGAGCAGCATTAGGAATTCTTGTACACATTCTTGTTGGTTCTGAGCTACAGCTGGGCAAAGTAGATTCTTCTTCGTCAGAATTACTTGCTCCATCAGTTTGTATCACAGATTTATTAACCACACTACCAATATTCATTGATTGCTGCTGACTATTAACAAACTTATTAATGCAATGTTCCTTTTATACCAAAAGAATTCCACTTACCTGCTGAAAGCTGCATTAACATGTTGCTGAAGTAATGTAGATGCTAATGGTTGAGGTAAATTCATTGTAGCTGTTAAGACAGGTCCAGTTAATATTTTTTGAAGCTGATTGTTTTGAAGTGCAGCTGCAGGAACTTGTATTGTCAAAATTCGACCTGCGTCTGAACCAGCTTGAACAGGTAATGTTATTTGAATGGGAACCATTTTATTATCAATAACTTGTGGTATTGCAGTTTGCATGTGATTATTTGGAGGCACTTGCCCCACAACTTGTTTCAGTACTTGGGTTTGTTGCTGGGGCTTTGGGAAGCCATTTGTACCATTTGCAGCATCACCAGGTAATTTAACACCTTCATTAACAGATTATTCTTTTTTAAAATAATAACAGTCTTAACAAAATATTTAGCTACCTATATACAACTTGAAGTGTCAAAACAAATAAGCTAATGTATAACTGTGCATATATTATTGCTGCATTGAAGTCCTGTATTCATTTATGAACCAATATTACCTGATTTATCTTCATTCTGATGATTTTCAACAGCCTTACTTGCCATTAGTTTTGCCTCCCAGGTTTGTTTTAATTCCTGAAGAATATGTTCATCAACACCATCTTCCAAAAACAACTCACGTACCCCAGCGATAACGTCTTCAATAACATCTTGATAAATGCGTACCTAAAGAAAATGATTCTTATTAACTGAAATTAAAATGCAATCAAAATGTCAAGTATAAAATTAGTTTACACTTTTAACACCTTGATAATACATTAGTAGGGGTAGGATGTTATTAAAATACGCTTTAAATTAACATTTTGAGTAAGTCTAATTCTGAAAATAAACTATTTTAGTTTTCATAACATAAATTATAAAGCAATAACAAATACTGTGTTACTAACCCCTTTATGTATGATACTTACCACTGTGGTTTTGCATAAAGAAGACGCCATTTCGAGTTGTTTTAATGTCCTCACTCAGTACAAGCTGTTATAATTTTCAAATTCTAGTTGAGAATTTATAAATCGTAAACATCTTATCTATTTCTATATCCACAACATATAATGAGCACTCCTGAGGTATCGAAACTGTCACTGACTGTCACTATGATAATTCCGTACAAGCAAATGACGTATACACAACTGAAGTCAATTGAATTCCTTTTTGTGTCGCTACTTTAAATTCACTGTTTCACAAAAGTATTTTTTTTTTTGCTATACATTTTATTTTTGTGTAGTTATAGATGTTAACGGTATTTGATAACATAATTTTTAATGTAACTCCACTGTAGTTAATAACTATGAAGTGTTTATTTAAACTCTCAATGAGTCAAAAATCGATGTTGCATAAATAGATAACCTTTTTGAACATTTGCCGACAGTACTTTTTTAAATTTTAAATGTTTTTACCGCCCGCACGAAGACCGCAAACAATTATAATTCCGTATGTTGCGGCGGAAATTTTTTTAATATAGCGTAGTATAAATTACAAAAAGCGTAAATGCTAACCGTAAGGATTACAATTAAAGCTACCCCGAACACGACACTCAAAAAACTTCCATCTATAACGCCCACTGAATTATTTTTCCCTCTTTCTTCAAGCTTTAAATCAGCTAGTTGACGCTCTGCCATAAGTTTTTTAATCTCTTTCAGTTTCTGACGTAAATCTTCGACGGTCTCCTCTCGAGATCCTAAAATAACGTTTACATTGATAAATTGCAGAAAGAAAATAAAACTGTATAAACTACCGTCTTCTATTTCCATATCGCAAAAGAATTAACCACACATTTTTAGCCAGAAAGTAATATTTCTTAATACATTAAACTGCACTCCCTATTCCAATTATTATTCAGGAAAAACTCCCCCAGATGCGCACGCTTTCGCATTCCTTTACTCTCCATCTGCAAACCTTAAGGTATTGACTAAATTGTAAATCTATCCTTGCTCATTTTCATTCAAAAAATTATGGCAGCAGTTATGTCAAACGATTCAAATATTCCAGTTGTTCGCGATTTTTCGAGTAATTAACGTGACTTCTAGCGAAATGATATAAGGGGTGAAATGAGCTTATTTAATGATTATTTTTATGCTTATCTAAATTCGTTGAGTCGCCCTATATTTTGCGCTTATTTTTTGTTTCGTTACAAGCAGTATGCTTTTTGCAATTTTTATTAATTAATTTTGGTACGAATTTAGTCCTTATGTTGAAGATACCTGTGAGACTAAAACAACGCGATTTTGGTGTTTCCTTCGCTTTGGATTATTGTGAATGCATTGTAAATATGGGAACAAGAGCTGCAGCATGTAAGAACTTATATAATATAGTTGTTACAATTATTNGTGTTTTTATGTCCTTCCGTTTACCGTTAGTAAGTATCTTGAAATTTCCTTTTCTTATATTTTTTAAATTTAAATGCACCACGCGTCAGTTTTTCGCAATGGCGGGAAAAAGTAACTTGCGCTTTTTATGATTGTACACCAATAAAAGCATTTATATTTACGTAAAAGAAATATAAGCGTTTTTATGGAGAATATGAGTGACAAAATACTTTTCTATCATAACGAAAAATTTTTGAAAATACAGAAAATTAGTTAACAAAAAAAATCTTTTAAGCTCGCTACACGGAAAGGGAATATGAAATAACGCAGTCGGTTTCCGCGGTTATTATGATGATATTTAATCATTCCTCAAATCCAGCACATCATTGTCAATTATTGGAATGTTTAATGACCCTAAAGCAATCGATATTAAAGGATCTCCTTTGCGTAATAGCTTACGGTACAAGTACTGCGAGATCTTCAGCAGCAAAACTTTTATTTTATTATTGGCCTGCTTTTGATCCCAATCTCTTTGATAGAAAGGGACTTATTTGTAAACTAGGGGGTAAGTAAAATTAAGCGGCAAATATACGAAAATAATTTTCTTTTACTTGTCACCTAATATGGTATAAAAAAATCTCAAACGAAAATAAAACGTAGTAAAAATAGAATCAAACACTGGATTACTTTCATACATATTTATTGCCTTGGCAGTATAGACAAATGACAAAATTTTGTGAAAACATTAGTGTTTGATTCTACGTTGATTGTTAAAATACAGGCGATCCTGCACCTTTTGTATGCCAAAGAGACATGTGTTCAAATGCTGGGAATGCTGAAGCAGCGAAAGTATGTTATGATCATTGTATAGCAATAACTTTTGCCAATGATGTACCACCTCCCCTTTATTTGTGCATTGAATGCGCCAACGAAATACATAGGGAACACCCAAATCAAGTTTTCCATGATATTTTACACCCTGTTCAGCAAGTTTCTATGGTTTGTGAAAATAAAGTAAGTACACACCTAAATAAATTTTCCGGTAAAGGAATTTTGCAATTTTTCTTTTCATATTCTTCGCTAACGCAGAATTGCCGATCAAATGATAAATCTGCAGTGTCAGTGTGTTTCTCTATCGAATGTGCAAGTTATAATGGTTACAGGCCAATTCGTTATTGCCAACAATGCCATAATAACAGGCATAATAACAGAAGGGGTGGTGATCACATATTTCATAAGAGTGTCCCCCCCACCTGGAGCCTCGATGAAGAAATGCACACATACATGATAGAAGCAATAATAAGTTTGTTGAAAGAGTCAAAGCTTCAAACTTCGGAACCAAAAAGCCAAAGTGCAGGACCTGCTTCTACTAGTGATAACAAGCCTTTAAGTCTTCCACCTCCTACTGATAACATAAGCTCAGAAGAAAGGCAACTTTTGGGCCGTTATGGGGTTTGGCTCTTAGTGGGGAGATGTACTCCTAACGATAGCACATCTGTTGAAGTAATGGGACGACTACTATCGATGCTATTTCATTGGTTTCACATGACTGCCTACTCTTTTGACGGTTAGCCTAATACTTTTGTCTTGGTTTTTACGTATTTTTCGAAATTTAAAACAAACCAGAAACAAAAAATAATGTTTCTTTTCGGCCAGTATATTTTCTTTTCTTAGAAACGACAAAATTTTAACAAAACACGTTTTCAGGACAAGAAAGTATTTTGGAAAAACTTAAGGTTGAGAATGTATGTAGCTGGTTGAAGGATCTTTGTAAAACACATTACGATCTTTTTGTTTCTTGCCTTTTACCGCATCCTCCTGATTATGCTAGAATTGGGGGCCATTGGTGAGGAATTCTGATGAAAAATTGATGTTTTCCGGACTGCTCAGGAAAACATCAATCCTCATTAAATGATAGTCCAAGTTCTACAAATGTACTTCTTGTAGGGACAGTTTAGCATCTAGGACAACCCATTTGAAAGATGGTTTAAACCGTTTATTTCATTTAATTCCTTATGAAGTTATTAATCAAGAAGTTTGGGATTTTGTCATGCCTCATTGGATGGAAGCAATCGTGAACGATGTGCCCGAGAAGGAGCTGCAGGAATTGAAAATAATACTATCGAAAATTCTGGACACAGATATGAGTCCGTTAGGTTTTAATGCTGATAAAATGTACAACTTCGTTTCCCAATGTTTTCTCAAAACTCCCGCTCCTGTTCAAAGAAAGGCACTGAAGTGGTTGCAAGTAATGAAAAACGATAATAAAAAGACTACATAGAATATCTTTCAATTAATTAAATTGTAGGTCCTTTCGAATTTGGAAATTATTATACCTTTGCATTTAGTCTTTTCAATATTTCGCGATGGAATTCGTACATTAAAGTCGAATACGCACACAGAATCAAACGACAATAAACCGGTCGAAACGATTGAGGCCATAGCTAAACTTCCTGCCTGTAAGTAATTCTTGAGCTATATTCACAAATGAGCTCATTTAAATAATTAGCTCCAGTTTTGCAAGATTGCGACTCCGGAAATACCTCGATTATGGACGAAGAAAACGCCCTTGCCCATAAGGATTCCAGTAGCATACCAGAACAAAACCTTTTCTGCTGTATTCTAATGCTGGACATTCTTCTAAAGCAAATGGAACTTCAAGATGTTGATAAACACACCGGGATCAACTCGTCGTTATGCAAAGACGTTTGCAGATTGCTAAAGTGTATGATAACAGCAACATGGATAAGTGGTCATAAATGCTCATCAAAGCCCGCCGAATGTACTTATTGCGAAGCTAGCGTTATGTGGCATCAACTGTGTCTTAAATTGATTCAGTATTTATCACCAGAAAAGCCAGCACATCCTCCAGATGTACGTAACTCGTTTAAAACTGAATTATTTATTTTGTTAGTTATCAATCGTTAAATTTTAGCCACCTCTCGAAGAATATACTGACGATTATTATAGTAAAAGTCCTCCTGAAAGTAGCAAAAAGGAATCGAAATCCGATGTTATTATGACTGTTCCTGTCCCCGAAGCCCATTCAATTGGAGGAGTCTTAGTACACATGCCCCATGTGTGTTCTGTACGAAAAGTATACAGTTCAGCTTAGTTTTTTGCTTGAGTCATCATTAGTTTCCCTGTTTTTAGTTAGTTTTTGACCAATTTAAGGGTAATTTATTTATTTTTTTTTTTTGTTGGATTTGTTTCATTTTTAATGATTTATTTAAAACTGATTGCTACGAACTTTTGTTAACTCAAGCATTTTCGTATAAGTGTTTTGGTGTTAATAATTGCTTTTTTCCTCTCCTCCCTAATACATGGATTTGATTATGAAGGTACCTCTTCAACAGATAATGACCGCGACTGTTGAGACAGTTTCAGAACAATTAGACCTTACTGCTATTATTCCTGCGGAAAAGGTTGTCACAGCAATGGCAAAAGCGATCACAATGTCCGATACCGAATATAGTAAAGAAAACATAATTTTTCGATTTCTTTTTTCCCAGAAAGTTCACTCAACTATTTTCAGATTCACATTTGCGCCATGATAAACCAAGGAACGGAAGCGATAATTGTTTGACTAATAAGGGGATCGATGACGGACCCGAAAATATTTTTGACTCTGATGGAAAATTAAAGTTTTCTATTGAGGAATTGCCCGAACAATTTCAATACGTTTACTACCTCTTTTCGGCAAGGAGATATCTCTACGCATTTAAATAAGTGATTAATAATTTTTTTTTTTCAGGAAGTGCCAAAAGTTGTAAAATCAGAAGTGCTTTACTATATGTTGCAGTGTTTGAATATATTTTGTTTGCACGGCGATGCATGCACGAAAGCTTCTAAAGAACACAAAGCCTTTTTCAGATACATACAAAATAATTTACTCATTAAAAAGTGAGAATTTCTGTAAAGTTGAACACATTTACACATTTTCCCACAAACATATATTTTTAGTTTATGGAATTTATGTAACTCGGAACATTCCCATATTGCTCAGGAAGCAGTTCCACTTTTGCTTCATTGTATCACATTACCGTTCGGCGCGGATGTTTTTTGGAAAATAATTCAGAGTGATTTTCACAATTCTGATTGGAGAATTCGATTTACTGCAGTTGACAGAGTAACTATGATTGCCAGGTATTTGGATTTGGCTCCCTTAAGAAATTTACCAGCCTTACAAGCCGCGTTGGCAAATGCTTTTTGCTATCTTATAACCAGTATGGACGATTGTAGTGTATATGTGGCACAGAGGGCAACACTTTATTTAGGAACAATACATGACACTGCCATTAGGGTGAGTGCTTTTTTTTTAATTCAATTTATTTTTTCTATCTTTACGTCTTTCACGGCTTGTTCTTTTAGTTTTTAATTTTTCCTGGTATAAGAAAGGTAACTGTGCAAGTAATGGGACCCCCTCCCGTATTAGAGGGCAAAAGGGTGGATGTTCCAAGAAGGTCTTTCCCACTCCTCTCACCCCTTTTCTTCTCGATTCGAGAGGGGTTCCGTCGTTTCCACAATTACTCTAAAAAAAATGTTATTATTAGGTACGATATTTGTGAAAACTATTTAATTAATACTTTTATATTTTAGTCTCTTATAATATGCCTAGAAACTCAGTTTGATACAGTTATAATAGACAGACCAATGATTCTTCAATCTCTTTACCAGCTTCATAATTCTTTGAGCGAAAGAAAGTTTTTGAGTTGGGATTTTTTTTTGAATCGTTTTGATACGTTATTTTTGGAAGCGCAAATTAATTTGGAAAAGTCCGGTGATATTTCATATTTAAGAGGTATTATTGTTATTTATCTTATAATTATCGATAAATCATTGTGTTGTTGATAAATTAAACTAACAGATTTAAGAAACTCAGATATGAACAGTGACGTTTTCATAAGAAAACTGCATAGAGCTCAAGAAGCACTTTCGCAGCAATCAGACAGTGCCACTAGCTCTGTTAAGACTTTAAGTGCCAGTTTTGGTACCAAATGGCCCTATAAAAGGACTATGTCGGCACCCGCTTCTATTATATCTAGACACGAGGCAAAAGGTTAATAAAAAAACAAACAACTTTGCTCTTGTAACTTTATGTTTTAAAAATAATTTATTTTAGAAACGAAAGATAAAATATATAGCAGACAGTTTTCTGCTCCAATTTTAAAAAGGAAAAGTTCGAGATTTGGAATCGGTCAGTTTTTAGGCACTAGTAACAGCATACCAGGTAGAAATTAGATGTAGTGTCTTGCTATTCTGTAGGCTTACAGGGCAAGGGTCTGTAGTTGACCTTTAGGATTCTGGGCATTTCCGAACCTAAGGGACAGTTGCGGTGTCTTGCTTTTAGATAGATGTATTTCAGCAAAAATTCTGTGGTAAATTGTGTAAAACCAACTCATTATGGTACAAGTTACTGCTGAAATGGATTTAATAAAAATAAAATGGTTTGCTAGAAAACAGTTTATATTACCAGTTTATTTATTTTTTCCAATTGGGAAGTAGAAATTTATATTGGCATGTGGAATTAATATTGTATATTTAACTATTTTCGTTAAAAAGCATGCCTGTTTTTAACTTGTTTCACATTTAAAAATATATAGAACGTTACAAGTATAATTAACGAAAGTTTCGTTTTAATTAATTGATGTAAAAAATAATTTATATTTAATTGATTATAAGAGTAGTACAATTTTACTGTTAATATACTATTTTTGTTAATTATACCTGTTTGAACCTGTCTATATTCGCCTTACTAGATTCCTGAATGGCTTCAATAAAAAGGTCTCTGAAATGTTGCATGAAGTTCTATCTCCAACACAACTTACTTGCTCTTTGAATGTAGGTATGTGACTGATTAAAACAAGTTAATCCTATAATCATTTAAATGAAAGTGTTTTACTGAGATGTGATGATGCACAAGCTTTGCAAAAAGATGATTATTTAACAAAAAGTTAGCTATTAGTTTTTTTTTGTTATTGTAAAAAGGAAATGAAATCATAATTAATATTTTTAGATGGTCACATGCATTCTTTGAATATTGCCGATGATCAAAATGTCATCGGTTTTTTGCACAGAATAATTGATTTGGAAGAAGCTGACAAAGAAACGATGCATTTGTTGGTTTTTTTGCTAATGCAGTTCTTATCAAGACCTGATGAAGCGTATCCAACTGAAAACAAATACATTTCTAAATCGCAAGGAATTGTGCTGCGACACCTTTATCTTTTACTTGGTTACAGTCAAAATGATCGAGGAATTTATATCTCTCCTCAACGTTTGAGATCATCTCCAGCATTTTGTGCATTTCTTTCCAATTTACCCCAACTTTTGGATCAGAATCATTTAATTGGTCATATGCTTCTTCCAACAACTATGATACTACTACAATATTCCGCTTCCCCACATTCTGTTCAAAACAGTGTGGATCTTCAACAACCAGTTTACAGTTTATGGGCTTTAGAACCTCATTCCAGAAGGTGCTGGCTAATGTCAGTAGTCGTTTTACTTTATAAGGTAAACCAACATGGGGTTTACTATTATGTACCTAATTATCTGAAATAAACATTTTCTGATAAAAGAAAATTTCAGTATCAATACAATCAATCCACCCATTGTGGTCAACTTTCGTTTCTTATAAAAATTATTCTGAATACTCTTGATGCGCAACATCATCAGTGTTGTAGACTACCAGCGACAATTATTATGGGAGGTGCAAGTTCCCGTTCTAGAGGTACCATTTTTCAAGATATTCGTATCAAAAATATTCCTTTCAAATGCAGTTTTAGATGTCAGTCAACCATCTTTGGGTACTGAATATGAACATGGGGATAAATTCATCACTCCTCCCTTGTCTCCAATGTATTCTCTAGATGGGCAATCGGTTCAAATCGCAGCAGGATTGAGAAATACAAAAGTCCAAAATATTCACGCAAAAATTGCATCCGGAACTAGTATGGAAACGCATTGGGAAGAATCATCAAACGATAATATTCGATGCTTAAAAGTGGAGAAAGTAGATGTTAATGTGGATATGGACGATTCTGAATCTGAACTTCTCGCTATTCCTGAAAGTGACACTTCAGAAAGCACTCTACAGGGAAGCATACACGTATGCATCATTTTGATAATGTAATTTTTGCCTTTTGGATTTACAAAAACATTTTTATTTAGAGTTCTCTGGAACTCGGAGATGATAACTATTACATTCATGTCAAAGAAAAAAAGTGCCATATAGAAAAACATCTTGAACCTGGCTATAAAAATGGATCAAATAAAAACAAAGCTTCTACTATTGAAAATCGTCCGACGTGGTATATAGGCGGCAGTCAAGAATTTGTTAAGGCAAATGGAAATAAAATATACAAGACTAATAAAATATCGATTCATAATCATTTGCCAGCAAAAACACAAATGAATAAGAACTCCATCAATTCGAACTCGGTGTTGTCCAGCACAACATTAGCAGATTTACATATTCAAAATAATAATATCGGTAGCACTAATAATAATCATCGTACAATAACACCAGTTACTCCTGAAATACTAAGAAAGAACGAGGAACTAAAAATTTTAAGTTGTACATCGTCGTCTGAAAGCGAAAATTGCTTAAAAGAAGATAAAACTATTCCAAATTTTGCTACTCCTACTTTGGAAAGGCTACTTCCCATTGGGTCAAGAATAGCAGGTATAAAAATGTATTTTTAATTTAGAGAAACATTTATGGAAGAAAATATCTCTGATTTTAATTACTTTCCAGACTCGAGATCTCCTGAATCTCCTCTTTCAAAAATGGACATTATACCAATAGGTGAACGCTTTTCGCATTTTTCATATTAATTTTTAAACTCGACTTGTTTTAGATTTACCTCAAGAAGTAGTTTGTTATCCTACCCTAGATTCACAATTGGAGATTCCATCTCAGGAAAGGCTATTACCTATTGGTCAGCATAGTAAAGATATCACACATCTTGTTGATAAAATGAAGCAAGTTTTAAAATTAAATAATCAAATTCAAAGACCATCAGTGGAAAGTAAAAAAGTGATGAAAAAAAATAACGGAAAGGATGAAATTCCTCGCAATCATAGCCCTAGAAGGCTCATCAAACAGGTTGCTTTAGAAAGTCCTCCCGGTCAAGGCGAACTATTTACAACCACCCTCAATGTCACTTTAAAGAGTACACTGCTACCAAATTATGATAGAAACTCTTTTTTCAACTTTATCTTCTTTCAGAAGATACATCATTAAATCAGAAACGCCCAAGAAAAAGTAGTCCGATTTCCCCAATATCTTATCAGTACATGGAAAATAGACAATTTGGATCTTGGGTAATACCACAAGTTGCCCCTAAACCAGAAGGACAAGATCTTAAACAAAGCTCATTTCGAACTGGCGACGATTGCGTTAGTGAGAGATGTTCAGAATGTGGTACAGCTCGTGAAGAGTATAGTGATGAAGAATTAGGATTATGTATAGTCGCTTTAGGCACTTTTATTCATAGGGAACCTGCTTCTGCAGCCCCATTACTTCCAGAAATATTACACGCAGTGGCTAAGTAAGTTTTCAATGTTTTATTAATACAATACTTAATCATATTAGCGTCTTTAAAGGATTGCGACGCATACATTATATCCTTGGCAAAATGAAAGCAATGTACACTTACCAGGAAGTGCAGTTAGTGTAGCTCATCAGTTCTTAAGATGTGTTTTACATCAGTTAGCCCCAAATGGAATTTTTACACAGATGTTTCAAACACGCATTAGTGGTGAGATATTTACTCCATTGAAATATAAAAAAAATAAGTTGAAAAACGAATATTGTCTGTTTTTTCAGAGAAAATAAGAACTCAGTTTTTTAAAAGTGTTGTTAAAGCATTACTAGATTTTATGGAGTTAAACCCCGTAGCCCCATTGCATCTTTTACTCGAGGTATATTTCCTTTTCGTATATTTTAAACTTGATAATGTTTTACTTCTTATTCTTAAGTTTTTCCATTAACCAGAAAAAAATGAATAAAATTGTACTGAAGTAGAAAAACTTTTGAGAATAAAATAACAAGTGTCTTGCTATTCTGTAGGCT